CTCGTAAACCTAAGGAAACTGGCTAAATTGTCCTAAGAGAACTGGCTTGAAAATACGCAAACGCCCACGCAACCAGTCCGTTCACCAGGATTCGAACGCCGAGAACTACCAGTGTTCAGTTAGCTCCGGCCGCTGCTAGGCCTCTTAAAGAAAAAGAGCAATCTTTTCGATTTCGAGGGCGATCTGCTCTTAATAAGGGCCGTTCCCACTGGGGTTTATTTGTGCTAACGGAGTCAGTTTCATGTGTCGACCTGCTCCGCTATACCTGCAGTTCACAACTTGTTGCCCTGTGGGAAAAAACTGGTTTTGGAGATGGGTCCGTTACGTCAGTGGTCTTCCTTAGCTCAGGTAAACCCCAGTTGGAACAGCCCTTAATAAGGAAACATTTGCTCCAAAAAGAGATACACCTTCCACGCACCCACACACACACACACACAAAAAGAGGAGAACAGTTCTATATCTTTCGTTCTATTCGACCAATAGACAAAATTTAACTTTCATGTTTCCTTTCTCGAGCGTACGAGTGAGGATATATATTGGATTTACATATAGCATTATTTTAACATAGGTATTTGTACAGAAAATCGGACTTTTTCTGACATGACGAAATCAGATTTTTTCCATATTTTGATTCGACGCCTCAAATTTGTGCTTAAATGACGCACTTTTTTTTTTTTTTTTTTTTTTTTCCCAGTATGCACCATGAATAATTTACGTGGCGAAATTTTTAATTTATGGTAACTAATTTTCCTTTCCCTTTTACTGTGCATGAGCGGAATAAAAGGTGCATCTTTAATTCTTTCAAAGAATTTTAACGAAGTGCTTAAAACGTATTTAGCGTTATTATCGCTTATAACAAATATGCCAAATTTGAAAACGCACCAAAATATAAGTTCACACATATCTTTGGAAATTTTGAATAAAAAGTTCTAATTTTTTGCAAATACGACTAGAAATACATCTGTTTTAAGAAGATGGCAAAAATTTTCATGGGTTATATATCAATTTTTTTTTTCGAAAATGTTTTAAAAAATTACTAAAAAATACAAATTTTAAAAACAAATGAGAAAATAGCTGCGAATTTTATATGGATTAAGCCAAAATTTCGAATTGTGAAAGAAGGAATTCAATAAATTTAGTAAAAAAAAGATATTAATAATACATACCATATTCAATTAACATTGAGAAAAAAAACGTAAATTTTGAAAAAAAAAGAAAAAAAAAAAAAAAAAAAAAAAAAAAAAAAAAAAAAAAAAAAAAAAAAAAAAAAAAAAAGTGAAAAAAAAAAAAAAAACTTGTTTAAAAACTAATCATGGGAAAAAAAAAAAAAAAAAAAAAAAAAAAAAAATTAAAAAAAAAAAAATTTTACGAAACTTGACAGTTTGCTATAATTTCAGTCGTAGAATCGGTGAAAAAAATTAGAATGTCATTTCAGAAAACGTCCGATTTTGTTTCAGAATACATAAGTTAGAAAAACGCTATATCTAAATCTAATATATATCCTAAGTCGCGCTTTCGAGATAGGAAACATGCATGTTAAATTTCATCAATCGGCCCAGTAGAACGAGAGATATACAACTGCTCAACCCCCTTTTTTTATGCAATGTCGCAGTGCCCATCGCCTTTGAAATATGTGAAATTTGAAATGAACTCCAATCTAAGGTTACCCTTTTATGTAATTTTATAATCCCTGGATTAAGTATTTCCATTTTTTAAGCTTTATTTTTCATCTTTCAAAATTAAATAATTTCATAACTTAAACAAGTGATCCCAGTATATTTATATGCAAAAACAGTAGGCTGGAAGATTTCCGTTCTGAAAATAATCTTTTAAGTACGAACGTTCATTAAAAGGATTATGTGGATTAAAAGTAAGTGCTACCGAAAGTGAAAGCATTAAAAATATCAGTAAATTATAAATAAAACATGAGGGAATTTTTGCCATCTAAAATGGCGGAAGAATTCTCTTTTAGCCGCTTCTGGGTTCTGACATGTCGATTAATCATAGATCAATTTCGATTAATTACAAATGGATTCTATATATGTTTTAAATAAAAAGTAAGTTTATAAAAAAATTTTTGAATATGTTTTGTTTCCTGTTGAATATAATATTATTATTGTCAAAAATGATGAATGCAAAAACTATCCCTTTCCTCCTTTTATTTTCAATTAGGGAGGGGGCAGGGAGGATGTTCTTTGGTGGTGAAATGGCATGACATGGTCTCCTAAATGTCAAAATAAGCTTGATAGTTACGGTCTTCCAATCTTTAAGTCTTAATTCTCCTTAAAAGTATATATGAATTTAATCATCTAGAATACTACATAATAATAAAAAAATTGCTGCTGGAAGTTTTTAATCGCCAACACTGAACTCTCTAATAAAACTTTGTAGAACATTAGGTGCTTATTTATTATTCCGTCGACCGTGAAACTCATGCCAAGTAGTGCGATTTAGTGCCAATTATGGATAATCGTAACATAACAGCACACACATAACGTATGCGCTTTCGTTTGATTTAACCCGACTGATTCTCAGAAAGCCATCTTTTGTCTAAACTTAACAAAATAGTAGAAATCGATGAAAGCTTTTTTACGAAGCTTTTTTATGAAGAAGGTCGAATTCTTACGTTTTTAAATAAAGAGGTAGCAGTTTTTCAAAACTCCGCTATTTTTATAATTAGGCTTCAAAATTTTCCCTTATTAGATGAACCCCTCTTTTGATGTAATTATTATCTCTGATGATGTGGAGTTAAAGGCCTAGCCTAGCGCACTCCGTAAATTAACTTCCTTGATCCTTGATCCTTGAGGAACGATTGGCGGAACTCTGGCGGAATATCCGCCAGCTTTCCTTGTTCGATGGAGCTAACGTTGAGGTCGACGGGATAATACATAAATACCGAATTTTTTATTCACGAGATTTCTAAAATAGCACTTCTTTGCCAAATATAATTAGGTTTGTATATTTTCAATTTCCTATTTATATCGGCCCAACAGCGGTCAAGTCATTAAACTGCTGACCTTTGGTAGTTCGATTCGGGCTTTAATCCAGGTGAATGGAGTGGTTGCATGGAGGTTTTCCTAGTTTTCTCTATGTGAACCAGTTTCCCTTGAAAAATCCTCCACGAAGGATACTTTGCCATATTTCTAAATAACCCTATTTACAACTGATTTACCAGCTAATTTTTTGTCATTATAGGTTTCTAAATGAGCAAAAGCATTTGCAGTTTTCTGTGTACTGCTTTATTTCGGATAATTTCAATGTTTCGTCCAAAACACTTCCTCAGTTTTCAGCAAAACTGCAGTCTGCACTTACTTAACTTGTTAAGCATTAAACCTGTTTTGTCTCCGTTTTCGTTAAGCCAGTCGATATCTGGCGTCCGGAGATTTATGCAGAATTTCCGGACGCCAGAATTTCAAAATATAATTTTTGAAACTGTGAATCGTTAGTCAACAGTGACTACTGCGGCCTGAACGAAAGATATACAGTCAGTCAGCGATCGGTGACTTTTATGGCTTTTAACATGAACATGCTAAACTTTTAAAGTGTTTCGAGAGGGTGAGAAAAATAAAGCTGATTCTTTACAGTCAAACAGAAAAATGTTAATGCATCCGAACACGTTTGGAGAACTTTTTTAAAAAGCATACTGTACAAACGCTTGAAAATCAAATTTACAACTACAGCAACCAAAAAAAAAAGGGGGGGGCAGAAAGAGAGAGAGCTCAGTGTTTATTTTGTTTACTTTATGAAATATTTCTTTTAATGTAAATTGTTTAATTTGTTTCGTTTTTTGTGCTAATACTTTCTCTTTAATTCTGAATAAAGATAATCAGTGAAGAATAGGGAATCTCCACATATTTTGCTATGAAAAAGTACCAAATTCGCAAGCGTAAGGAAAAGGGGGAGGGAAGAATTGGTGATTTAGTGATCCAGGCTTTAAATCATTCCGGATAATGGACGTCCGGATTTCGGACTGTTTACTGTATATGTATGTTTTAAGTGACGAAATTGTACGCAAAGATCAGTTGTGAGAAAAATTAATTTTAAGTTCAAATTATTATTATTTTTACTAAAAGGAAACGTAGTAACATGCCTAAAACTTAGCACATTTATAACGTATACTATCCTCCTGATCACATTCAGCCATTTCTCTTCTTTTAGGGATTCTGTATATTATTTTGGTAATTTTACCTCAAGCAGTAAATGACAACCAGATTCGCTAATTTGTTCTTTACCCAGCTGTGAAAATTCCTTTAAGCACCAGGATAAATATTCCTGTTTTAAACATCTAATAATCCTTTAAAACCTCTTATGAAGTGTATGACAACCTGTAAATTTAGGCTTCATTGTTCAACAAAATTGCCTTTTGGGCTATATTTTCACAATAATATCTTTGAAGCTCTTCTTCCTATGAAAACATTTTAGTGTAAAATTTTGATGAAACAGTAACAGTTTCATGTTACACATGGTTAATTATGTTCATTATGTTCTTTGGCTGTCCTTTGGATTTACTCCTGCATTTGTAAAAGTTATTGTAGTTTGCTAAAATTTGCACTAGCAGTTAGGATTAAGAGAAATTAGTTCCTTTATATTTAAATAGTGATGGAACGTTGCTGCAAGATTTGAATTCTGTTTACTTTACAAATAATTGGAATTTGCTACGAATATCGTTTGTACAGTAATTTTGCAGCTTATCTCTAAAGACATGAGTTAATTTTCCGTAACTTCTTTCGAAGCCTAGAACCGACACTCTTTTGAATTTGCCTATTATATCCATATTTGATTCATCTATTTTTAAAATGTTATTATAATCTGATAACCTTACTGAAAATAAAATTTTTTGTAAAACAATACTGTAAATATAATTTAAAAAATGTGTTCTTTAAATTAGTTTCTAGCTGCTATTCTTACTTCATAAAATCTTTATAGTTTCTCTTTTAATCACATTCTTATACAGTTATTTGCTACATTTCAGAAAATAATTTTTATTTATTTGTTTTCAGAAACTTGGTACAAATTCTACATCAAATTCATCATCAGGGAAGGCTGTTACACCAGGTAAGACAATTTTTCTAGCAGTTTCTTGAACTATCGAATAGTGTTCTGTTACGCCAAGAGATGGCGCCACCAGCAAGAACTTCAGGAGTAGAACGCATATAATTAAAATGATTTTTGTTAAAAGCTTAATCCAAAGAACTTACGGTGGGATTCAAGGTCCTAATTATAAATTATTTGCATATCATAATTTGATTCAATATTAATCTTTCTGTTACGGAAAATTAGGCCTCCGTTATATTTTGTCAGACGCACTGTAGAAAAGGTGCTGAAAAATATCGGCTATTTTGAATAAATTTATTGCTGGGTATCAAATTGTTTAAGAAAATTTAATTAGTAACTTTTGGAAACACATATGGTCCCAGAAACTCCTCAAAGACGAAGTAGTGTTAAAGAAGAAAATAATGTGTGATAGCTTTTCGCATAAAATTGGCGCACAATCAAATTTGCCTGTTTTTTATATAATTTCTGCGATGTTTTTCTAAATTTAAGTACTTATTTATTTATTCAAAAGGGGCTCTTTGTCGCGAAAAGGGATTTTGCATCGGTTCACTGTAAACGCCGTATAATTTTTTAAATTGCCGATACGAAATATTATCGCCCTAATTTTAAAGAAATTAAATAATGCAGAATCTGCATGTATGTATGTATGTATGTTCCTCGCACTGTAAAAAAACTGCGGGACCTAGAGCCATCAAATTTTGAATAACGTAATCCTCCACCCGGACATGTGCACCTGGAAGCAAAAATTGTGAATTTTTAATTTCGTATTTTGCAAAATTTAAATGAATTTCTGATTAACAAACTCAACGATTTTAAAGCGAGCAGTGTCAACACTGTTCGAAATAAAGCATTTTCATCTCCAGTGCGCGAGACTGTTGCCATTAAAAAATGTAAGATATTTATCTTTTAATTTTAATTAGTAATATAAAATGTATATGGCAACCTCTAACAGGAATTCTCAGGAATTCTAAAGATACGCGGTTTTTATATATTTTGTGATTCTGTTGTTGAATTGAATAAATGAAATTAATAATAAAAATGAAAAAATATATATATTAGCCATCTTACTAAGAAAACTGAATAATGATGTGATAAACTGAGGAAAGACTGAAAGCAATATTAAAGTGTATGCCAACATTTAACGCTGCATCGAGAATCCTGAACATAATGAAGCTTTTAAAATTTTATGATTTTGTTGTTGAATTGTGCGAAGTTCTAAGAAAATAGTCCTTAATAATAAAGCTTACAAATTAAAAAAAATAAATTAATTTTTTTATACATTTTGTTTGTTACTTTTATTTATTAAATATCACGTTCTTCAACAGCCTATCTTCAGAATTTCTGATACACAGTCTCGCGCGCTGGAAATAAAAAGGCTTTTTTCCGTACAGTATTGCAACAGCTCGCTTTGAAATCGTTTTGTTAATCAAAAATTCGCTAAAAGTTTTACAAAATATGAAATCGATAATAAAACAAATTCAGGCTTCCAAGTGCCCATATTCGAGTGGAGAGTGGAGGTTTAAGTTATTCAAAATTTGATGGCCCTAGATACCGTTGTTTTTTCACAATGCGAAAAACATACGTACATTCATGCAAATTCTTCATTATTTAATTTCTTTAAATACACTCATGTCCAAAATTATCTTAACATACCCCAAAATGATGATATTCAATGAAATATCGAATCAATGTGATCCGTATTTGCAGGGAATGTGTGAAAACCAAGCCTAATTAGCATTATCCAATCAAAAGTAATCAAACGGTTTGTGATATGCAAATCTAGGCATTATGTCATCCAAGGGTGAATCAAGCGCTTTGCGCAAACTGAATATTTGAGTGAATTTCTGCAACATAGCGTTTGATTTCAGTGTGTAGGGACTCAAAGTGGTTTGTTATGGCTTCGAAGTATCATTTGGAAGAATCTGTAAAGTGGTGAATTATCGGCCGTTTAGAAGCAGGGCAGTCAATCATGGAAACAGCCACATGTCTGAATATTTCAAGACAGACAGTCTCTAAGCTATGGAAACAGTTTCAAAATGATGGAAGTGTTCAGAAACGAATGACAACTGCTTCTGAAGATCGGTATCTGGCATTAACTGCCCGTTGTAACAGAAAGGCTACTGCTCGCCAGTTAAGTTCAGAGCTTGCAGCTGCCACTGGAACTGTTGCATCACAGCAAACAATATACAGAAGGCTTAATGAAAAAGGCCTTTATGCCAGAAAGCCAAGGGTTGTGTTTTACTGTCTTCACAGAAAAAGAGGGATCGTTTTTAATTGGTGTAAAGAACATCAAACTTGGACTGAACATCAATGGTCCCATGTTCTCTTTACTGATGAGTCGCGGTTTAGTTTAACTGGTGATTCTAAACGTGTTTACATCTGGAGGGAGTCAGGAACACGAAATGATCCCTCGAACATTGTGGAACGTGACTGTTTCGATAGTGGAGGTGTGATGGTATGGGGTGGAATAATGATCGATGGACGTACGCCCCTACAGTGGATCTGTGACAGGCCAGATATATCGAGATGAGGTCTTAGATCCTTATGTAAGACTTTTCAGGGGTGCATATGGACCTGACTTTTTATTTATGGATGATAATGTCCGTCCACATCGAGCAAACCTCGTTGATGAATTCCTTGAAAGTGAAGACATTAAGCGAATACCTTGGCCACCAAACTCTCCTGACCTTAACCCGATAGAGAACTTATGGGACTACCTTGGAAGAGCAATTGCACGTATACATCCTCCTCCTCCTAGAGATATATAAATGCTCTGAAGACGGCATTGCTGGAAGAGTGGAGATTAATTCCCCAAACTGTGGTTAACAACGTTATTTCCAGCCTAAAAACACATTGTGATATGTGTGTACAAGTCAGGGGAGATCGTATTCCATATTAAATTCGTAAGACTTAATCTTTTTCTGAATCATTCCTTTTTTTCTTAACTCTCTTGTGTCACACTTTATTACCATTTTTTTGTTTCATTTCATGCTACAATTTTATATCATATGAGGTGATCTTCAATTTTTTCTTTTGCATTTATGTGTCATCATGTTATGTATGATTCCACGAAAATTCATTAAATTATTAGTCTCCGAGAAATCCGTGAATTTATGCATGTAAACATAATTTTGGACATGAGTGTATATAACAGGGCGATAATATTTGGTAGCAACATTTTGAGAAGTGATTCAGAATTTTAAAGTAATCCAACGCAAGATACCTTTTCGTGACTAATAGCCTTTCTGGAATAACGCTCTTTTGGTTTAAAAAGGGGGGAGTTACTACGGGAACAGCAGCAGTCTGGTAGACTGCGAGCTCATCGAAAGAGTGAAACCTTAACAAACGGTTTTTTGGTCGACCGTTAAAACCTAAAATCTCCCCCCCCTCCCTGTTCATGCATAATTATTTTTGTTTCTTGTTTTTGCGAAAAGTAAAACATTTAATTAAAAGTTAATATTTTATTGATACAATAAAGCCCTTTATTAAAATTTACTGCAGCAGTTGAGGTTAGGGCCAAAGAAGCGACTACAAATTACCAGATCCTCGTTTTCTGAAAGGGTCTCTTTCAGCAACGCCTGCTTGGTTTAAATAAAATCTCAAGGAGCCTGACTCGGGCAGCAGTTACTTTTTATACATAGAGTTTACAAGCTAAAATAATTAACAACAACAGGAAAAAAAATGAGAAGCCAAGTTAAAATACTTAACATGTGGAAAAATTATATCCGTAAAATGTTTCGTATTATAAAATTTACTTTTGTCGTGAAATATAACCCGATTATTTGGTTTGTCGTTGTCAGTTTTAATTATAGTATTTTTCTATTATTCTGTAAAATAGCCCTTTTTAAATTTTAAGCAAATATGCATAATTTTTCTAATAAAATATAATTATTCATGGAGTTGATTTTCTTATTTTTCTAAATGATAATCATTACCAGAGCTAACACATCGTAATCGCTACCTCGGCGCACAGATTCTGTTTCCGTCACTGATATCCATATACGTTACTGGAAAGCATTGACTAAACACATTTAATATGCTGTTTGTTTATCAATTAATTGCATTTGATGATTAATAACGAAGAAGACAATTCTTAAACAACTTTAAATGGTTAAATTAAAAGTCTTATTTCTAAGAAATTTTTCCTTTGTTAGCCCAGAAGGGCTATTAATTTCGTTTTCGCATTTTGGGGCGTTTCACTTTTCAAATTATTGCCTCCAAATATCATCCATCGCCCCTGTATTATATTTCAAGAAATTAAATAATGAGTAATCTGTAAAAATGTATGTATGTTTCTCGCATTGTAATCAGAATAAGTGATCATCTGGAAGCCCGAATTTGGAATTTGTTTTAGTATATATAAACGAACTAAATCCTTAGAAAATAATGAACTACGTGGAATCAAATTTCTACCCAAAACCAAAAGTGCGTATGAAATATCTTCACAGTTAAATTAAGAGGATTATGGGGACGTATTTAAGCTGCTATCTTAATTTCGTTTTGGCAATTTGGGTTGAAAACATTAAATGTCGGTTCACTTGTAGGGTTTATATTTATTTTAACTAACATTTATTTTAAGTTTAAGCTATCTTTCCTGTCAAGCCTTTACTTTCCCCTAGAATTGCCAATGCCAGAGTATGTAAAATCGTAGTAGAACGCGCAGAGTATTCAAAGATAGTTACAATTATAGAGCCTCGTAGATAGTGACTTCGTTAGTTATGCATCCTGTTATTTATTTTTAGTTGTACTTTTCTATTTTTGTTTAACCGCCGGATCGGCGTAGTTTGTGAGCGTCAAGTGAACGCAACTGTAATTTCTAAAGTGAAATAAAAAGGGAGTTAAACCCTTCTTAAGAGTCTGTGTAATTTCCAGTTCATAGCAGTCACTACTACTATTGCTGACAAGTTGGGGCCTCCCAACATCACACACTTTTCAAATTGTTGCCACCAGATATTAGAGCCATGCGTTAAAGAAATTAAAAAATGAAGAATCTGCATTAA